CACACCCCCCAAATAAAGCTGAAAGTAAAAATGTCGAAAGTAAAAATAACAAAAATATGCCGAAAATGAATAATGTCGAAGTAAGAAATATCGAAAAATAAGAATGTCAAAATGTAAAAATACCGAATCCTATAAATATCAACACAAAATTTTTCGAAATACATGTTATCATGTTAATTGCAATGTCAGACAAGTTTTGTTTGCAACAATTACTATATTATACTATTAAATGATACCACAATCGAATGAATCATCACATTGCACGTAATCATTCTCCCATATGCCGATTCATCCAATTCATGCAAACTGAAGAAAAACAACTTCATAGAAATGTTGTTCAGTAGTCTGCCGATGTATCAAAAAAAAACAAAATAATTGCACGACACTAACACAAAATCGTATTGGCATCCTATATCAACGGGATAATGACGGTCTGATAAATTCCACGAATTTTCTTTGCAGATTGTTCTATCTTGTAGGAATCAAAAAATATTATAAACATTGCACCAGTCGGAATTAATTCATTAATTGAAAATCCTTCAGTGCTTTGACTTTATCATTTGTATAAAACTTTTTCTGTGGATGCAAACTGTTCAAACCAGATCTCTATCAGGCCCAAGGTCGGCTAGAAAAGTCGGCTGACTGTAGAGCCGATAAATATGGAAATCTGATCCTACACCACATCTACTATTTCTAAACCGAAGATTCGTGTAGAGGAAATCATAATGAATGTGAGTCATAGATTTTCATATAAGAAAGCACTTGTATAAACCATGCACAGATTTTTCTAAACGTTTGAGACTCCTTCATGGATGAACTTAAATCATGCAAGGCGATAATTAAAATATATATATATATATATATATATATAAGATCTGAAATATCGATGGTCTTTTTAAGATTGAGTCATGTATAACCATATAAGGAAACTATCAGGTGTTAATTATCATTTTTGACATTTTCTTTATCTCCCAAGCGCCACCGAATTTCGAAAAACGATTTTCTAGATGAATACTCATCACGTTCTCGGGATCTTGCCAAGCTTTTATAGACTGAAAATGACACTCAGAAGCTCAGAACGAGTGACTGATTTGAATCGTGACTCATGTTTTGAGAAGAAGAAGAATTTACCATGCCAACTAAGCGAGTGAAAAGCAATAAATTGGCTCTGCCAGCACTTCGTGCAATCAACCGACTTAATGAAATAATACATATATAGTGGATTTTCTATTCGGAACTGAAAAACTATTTTTGTTTTTCAAAATTTTTAACTTCCGATATGTCTATCTTTCGGTATTTTTTTACTAAATTTTTTCGACATTTCTAGCGTTCACCATTTTTTTTCGATCAAATTTGAAATAACCTCATGGAAAGAGAATAGAGATCTTCTTTTGTCATCAATTGATATAAAAACAAATTCTAATTTGATCCTTTTATTTTTAAGAATTATTCGAAGAATTGAAATTCTTCTAATAGTTATCAATAAATAGAAGAGTTTAGAATTTAGTCATAAGTTAAATACTGTTGGACGAGATCGATGTGCATAATAAAATTTAAAAAAAACTCCTAAGTATTTTATATATAAAGAAATCTAGTTAAGAATCAAATTATTTATTTAATTTTAGATTCCAAAATTAAAATGTTTTATTTTAAAAAGTAAGATTCATGGTGATTGTCAATTAGTATATCTTAAGTGGATTCTTAATAATGTTAATCATATTGAAAAATTAAAACTTTATCTTGATATTAACTTAACACATGAAAATAATTTAATGAAAAATAAATCTATAATTGATGCTAATTTTATTAGTCAATATTGTATGCTTGATGTATTTAAATATTTAATTGATTTTCATTTTTACATTGTATCAAAGTGTCAGTTATTGCCGAATGATATTCAGATAATAGAAGATTCATTTAAAAATCATTACTTTTTTTCCAATCATCACTGGATAAATGTTAAATGTTTCTTTGATCCAATAATGTCATATCAGCATCTATCATCAATGGGAATTGTTAAACCTAAATTGTTTCCTGGTATTATTATGTAAGATATTTGTTTTATGAAAATTCTTAGAATTTATATTTTTGTTTTTTAGAGATTATCCAAATATATTTCATTGTCAACATATGAAATATTTAAAGGTTGATTTATTGTTCATCGATTGATTTTGTTTTCAAACAATTTCATACTACATTTCCTCATGTAACGTCTATTAAGTATAATATAGGTGTATATATATATATATACATTTAAGATTTTATTATCAAATAAAAGGTTAATCAAGTCGAATTATAAATAGCGACAAAAAAAATGAAAATGACTTAAAAAGAAATTGAACTCTTTAGTTCCAATAAGTATTTACTTTATCTATAGGATTAATTGAATAAACTTGAAAATAACGAGTGTAGTAGAATAAATGGTCTCCCTCAGCATTTTATCTCGAACACTTTGTTTTGTTTCATCGAAAAGACATGATTTTATCATAGAAAGATGCACCATAAAATTGTCTTCAAGGTGACCTATTTTATCTTGGCTAAATACTCTTCATTGTACTTTAAATCGAAAGTGGTTTCACTTGAAAAACTTCTGAGTACATTCGAAAAATAATTATTTTATAGTTTTGGCCTAATATCGCTTTATTTTCGATTTTTTAGTGATCTTTGTCGAAATAAGATCTTGATTCCGATAATTATCGATTGAACTCAAATAGGGAAGGTTAGACATCTCTAGAGCATCAGTAAACCAAGATTGCTTCCCAGCTAAAACAAAGTATCAACGAAGATTACTAACAAATTGAAAATCAAGCGATATTAGAACAAAACTATAAAATAATTATTTTTCGAATGTACTCAGAAGTTTTTCAAGTGAAACCACTTTCGATTTATAGTACAATGAAGAGTATTTAGCCAAGATAAAATAGATCACCTTGGAGAAAATTTCATGTTACATCTTTCTATGATAAAATCATGTCTTTTTGATGTAACAAAACAAAAAGTGTTCGAGATAAAATACTGAGAAAGGGTGGAATATTTATTCTACCACTCCCATTATTATCTGAATTTTTCATTTATCTCTAGAACGAAAAAGACCAACTACTAAATTTCAATACTTAATGTTGTTACAATCATCATTGAACGTTTTACAATTGAAACTGACCGATATTCATCTCCAATATGTAACAAGACTTGGTTTTGGACTTAATTTCTCTTGTTATTATGGTAAAACTTGATTTTTTTTCTTACATTATATATAATAAGATGACAAATAAACATTTATTGAGGATAAACCTATTTCTCTTTTGTTCATTCACTATCACATCCAGAGATGTCCGTGCCGGTGAGACAGGTGGTAGTTTAGTTTTCAAAAACATTGGACAATTTCATGAATTTGCATAGGATTGAGGTGTTCATAGATATAACATTGATAGACTAGATCAATTTGATAGATTGATAGAAATAGTTCTAGTTTAGTATAGTGATACCACAATTTATCGAAGGACTTTTTCAAAAGCATCACTATTAGTAGTATCTTTCTTTAGAGCTGATCATAACGCGAAACCGATAGATTCTCAGTGATGATCGACACCTAGCAGCTAGATCATCCTGCGAGAACGAAAAAAAACAGCGTTAGTTATTTTATATATTTGATTGAATCGATGATAGAATTGAAAAAGAACTGAGAAAGAATTCCTATGTCCTAAGTTGTTAGATATACCTTGAGAAAGAAATTCTTATTATTAATTTACTTACATTTATTTTTAAATATGTTATTATTATTATTATTATTATATTATTTAGAATCCAATTTAATATCGATTCATGCAAATATATTACGATCGAAAATACTCGCTCATCTTATTTTAATGCCAATTAAACTAGTTTATCTTCGAATCGAACAGTTTGAATGACTTTTGCACATCGCTCAATATGTAAGTATTTTGTTAAAATGATCTTTTTATTTTTTTAAACATTGATATAGAATTAAATATAGGATAACTAATCCAAATATATATATGATCGAAAGTAGATGAAAACCTATATGAATAATAAATAGACCATTTTGATTTTTTCTATTTGAGTTATATTAAAATATTCTAATGATCTAGAAAATTCTTTATGGTTGCTTTTCAAATATATTCTTTATTCCCTCATAGTCCTCATAGAATTGACCAGATAAACACTTATTAGATTGTTAAATCTGCTATTTTGTCTTGTTCAGCAGAGAAGAAAACCGTTGTGCATGCCAATGTCACTATCAGCGATCGATTTTATAAGTATTTTACAGGAAAATCTAAAGGTTTATTTCGTTGGATGTGCATGATCTTAGTAGAATTTGTAATCGAACTGATTGTTGTTGAGAAGAATAAAAGTATTTAAGTTAACAGTTGAAAAATAAAATTCTAACACGATAAATTTCTGATGTAATTGTTTCCTAAATTAAATTCTAATTAAAACCATGCCTATTTTCAGTTGAACGATTTAAAACTCAAATCGAACGAAAACAATGAAATCATCACTCGCAAAATATGTTTTTTTTTCTCCTAGACTTTTCTATTTCGAAGTTGTTCCTTCAAAGTATGTTATGATATGTTCTCTTTTATATAAACGAAAGCTCTATTCATCGAGTTATATAATCACTAATCACGATCAAAATGTGAGGATATAGTCGTAACACTAGTTGTTCAGTTAGCGATTAGCAAAAATAAATCCAATAGACTGTTATCTTAACAAATAAAATCATCTCAATCTTGATTTTTTTAATATTTATTATAGATGATTCTAAATATTTTTAATGAGATAAAATGATTTAAATTGAGTATTCAGTTGATTTAAGTTAGATATTTACCGTTTGACGAATGCTTATTAATTGTATCCTTGTTTTTGAAAGGTTCAAGATTTATTTTTAGTATTATTTTTTATAGGAATGAAACCTAATTATAATTGAATAAGGAATGATATCGTATCAATGCAATAGGAAAAATAAAAGGAGAGAATAT